TAGTAACTATTTATAATATATAGTAGCTAATATATATACATAGCAAGTGTAGTCCCCATTTATAGATGCTAGATACACTCGCATTCTCCATCACGGGACTACTTAAACTTTAACCACGTTACTCCTATAGCTTCGCTGTCCCTGAGTCTCAGGCCTCTCCGAGTTACAAACCTTTTTCCAGTTTGCAGACAAAACGCACTGCTGTTGTGCCACCACCCCCTCGCAGAACTAGAACTCCCTCATTTTCATCATATTGACAGATTAAAAACACAACAATCTTATATGGGGCAACAAGCTCAGCTCTCTTTGGAGCTCCATTAGCCTTTTCTGCTACCTGATTCACTGTGCTTGACAGTGAACCAGAACTGTACACAAAAATCCAGGCAGGCTGCCCTTGGTACCTCCAACGTTAATGCTCCCCTGATGCACATTAAGATTGCATTCGGCTGTCTTTCACACCCACGTGTCATTAGCAGTCCACTTTCAGTCACTGTGAATTAATAAAGTTTTTCTTCTCTCCAACTGACAAACTTTCCACCTTTTCTCACCTGAAAATATTCATGAAGAAAAACGAAATCCTGTTACTAGTCCATAGCCTTATACTCGGTTAGAGTCAAAGCAGTTGAACAGTCATTTACCCGTACTGTTGGGAGTTAAGTAATTCCTCATTGGCAAACATGGCATTAGTAGCTAACACTAATAAATGAAAAGATTGCACTTCGAAGCTTATATGCAATCCACAGTACCCTGTGACCAAGAAAAAAGGTGATCAAAAAGCAAGTACCATTTTTAATCAAAGGCTATTTCAGCTGTACTTTTATTTGTCACGCTTCCTAGACATTCTCCACCCCCATCTTTGCAGAGGATTCTCATAATGCTTAATACTGAATTATCTGGTGTGAGGAAGAGGGAACCGTTTCACTTAAGGACCGCTTAAGTGAGGCAAGAGAAAAATTACACACCATTTAGTTTGTTTTACCAAGCTTTGCTCCAAGCCACAGACTAAACCAGCCCTTGAATAGAATTCATGTATTTCACCTTCTCTCATTTGCTTGTTTTTCCAAGGATTGACTGACTGATCTTGCACGTCTGTTACAACTGGTTTCTAATTTTGTAAAATTGGAGGGGCAGGGGGTGCTCGGGTCAGCAATTTTTTTTGAATGGAAGTCCCTGCCAGATGAGAACCCAAGCGTCACTTTCAATTAAGTTTCAACGATGAAATGGAGTTTGTGTATTTTTGGCAACTACTTAACACTGTTCGCACTCAAACTGTAACTGAGCTTTGAAGTTAGCATCCATGTGAGAAGAAGGGGTAAAATAAGTACTTCTACCTGACTAAGAAATAGCTGCACATAAAACCACTTTTGCAGTAGAGGCAAGACACAGGCCAAAATGCAGTTGGGAATGCAGAGGTATTGCACCCCTGAGAACAAGCTACTAAAATTCCTGCTGTTACAGATAACAGGCAGCATACAAGCATTAGACATACTTGTTTCTCAGTAGGAGACCTCAGTATGAACCTCCATTCCCATAATTTTCCACCACCACCCAGTATCTGGACAGCAGACACTGTTTGCTCCACCTGTAAAGTCAAGCTATTTAGAAACTGCACATGGTTTCCGTGGAACAGGCCACACAAATTATTCAGTATTAGTTCAAGGTTGGTCATTTTTATCTGCTATAAATATGCACCCTAACATAGGAGGCTTCACTCCAAGTTTCCCCACCAAAACTCCCACCTATTTCATGAGACAGAACTTACACAAAGCGAGCTAAACACACCTCTGTCCCTATAAAAGACAGCTACAGTTCAGCATGTTTAACATCTTATTCTCTTACAGCCACATATTACTACTCCTACAGACTGAAAAACGATGCTCAAAGTGACTGTAACACGCCTGTATGATGTAAAAGGTTTCATTCCAAGAGTACTACCCAGCAGCTACCCAGGGTAGCACTCAAATTCTTTATGCTAGAACTATGAATAGATTTTAAAAATGGCCAAGACATTTCATACTCAGAAGTGCACATCACCATAAAACACAGTTTCTCTAGTCTGGTTTTGTCTCTGTTAGAGACCCTTGATCCTGATGAAAGCCTGGATTCAGAAAACCATGTCAAGGCAGATAGCATCTGGCTCAGCTCTGTCCCCAGATTTGGATTGCCTGAGGAAGCACTGACTATACATACAATACAGAACTTTCATGCTAGTAATCTCTGAAGCATTTCAGCCAAACACTACAGACTAGCTCAATACTGTGACCGCTCTGTGTTTCTACTGACTTCTCAGTAATTGGCTTTCTATCTCTGCATATTCTGACACACTCATTCTACCAGTACTGACAACAGAAGGGGAAACTAACAAGCTTCAGGCGCTGCTTTCTTAGTAGAACTAAAATGAGACCAACGCAAGAGTAATCCCGTCCAGAATTAAGATAAAGGCCTCTGAAAAGGCACGCAAAGATTTGTATTTCATTCTTCAGGATACCACAGTTCATCTTGTCTACTAGATGGAAGATGGAAAGCGGGTATTTGTGATTTATAGTCCTTTACACACTGTAATTTTTATGAAATCATAGAGACCACAAGCGTGAGAAAAACAGGCCCCCGGGACTTTTAAGTTTACCAGCTAACTTTACGAAGGATATGATTTCTTTCCAGCTTTCTTATCCCATTAACTCTATATAGATTACGGGCTTGTCGTCCCTCGAATTAAAACTAAATATTTAGGAAAGGAACATTTATTTGATAACAATACCTTATACCAGACACACTCCATGCAGTACTGCTGGATAGGGCGGGGCCAGGCACTGCTCAGATGCGGTCACGAAGAGGCAAGGATCCTGAAGATGTGCGGAGGAGCCTTACTTGGCTTTCTGAATCTCCCAAAAGTTCCTAGCTTTCGCCCATATGCCGCCGACATGGATTTATTTTTCCCGACTTCCTTGCACCACCTCCCACCCGCACTCCCGGGCGGGTTCCGTCTTGAACAGCAGCCCCTGCATTGCCCGAGGCCGGGTACGCACAGGGAGAACAACCCCGAGAGCCCGGACAGGCACGGGTAGCCCCGGGAGCCCGCCGCGGGCTCCAGCCTCCCGGCGCC